GTTTAATAATCTATGAAAATGATGATAAATACTTCATTACTTTCAAAACACACTAGAATAAACTTACATCGAATAACAGTAAAGAATATTGTGCACACATAGTGACGATGAGCCATAAAAATCGCATGGTATACTAGCCACACTCAACGCCCCCTACTTGTTGGGGTACTCCGGGAACATCAACCCAATCCAGTCGAGCTTAAGTCGAGCCTTAAGCTGATGCATGTGTCGTTCCTGAAGTAACCGCCAAGACCTTTAATATATGTAAAAAAATAAATTAATTACAAATTAATATCTTAACAAATAAAGAATTTCATTAATGCACCACCGCTAGCGGCATCAACAATGCCCCTCTCAATGCCCCTCTCGATAGGCAAAAGTCCATAAAAAATATTGAATTAACAACTGTTCGGTTATTTGATGTTGAGGACATCAACAAACAAGCTTACTAAAATGCTCCCAATATTAGAAAAGTTTAACCTCACAAATCTCTTACTACCTGTTTCACTTTCGCTTTCTTCACCAATTACTTTACCGCTTCTTAATTGCATAAACACAAGCTGCAAAAGTTGCAACAATGCCGTATCAGTGTTTCTTTAGAACACTTTAAAGAATGGAAACAAAATGCTATTTAAGTTTGAACTTTTCATTCAATTTTATACAAAGAGAAGCACCTAGTTTCTTAAATAAGGGAAAAAAATCAGATTCTTTGTGAAAAATTAAGCTCAAAATTCAAACTCCAGAAATAAATATATCACCACTTTTAACATTTTCAGAACAAGTCACAAAACATCCAAATTAGTTCCTATGCTTGTATTTGAACTAATAGAGTTCAAATTTCAGTAATAAGGCATCTCAGGAATTAAAATAGGCATAAAAAGGGGGGAAACATTGCATATTTTTTTTGAAAAACAGCACCTTCAGATCAGTTTTCTAGAAAAAACTGCACAAATCAGGCCCCGGAAATCATGTATTACATCTAAAAATTGTCCTTAAGATAGATATAACAATAACAGTGCATATTTCTAGCAAAGAAGGATTATAAGAGGCAAAAACAGCATGCAAAAAGGGCTAATTCTACAACCAAAGAGAACTAGAACAGCTTTCATATAAAAAACAAATCAGAACACACACAGATACTTCATCATCAATCCAATTACAATAAAAGGCGTTAATCTTGAAGAAACATAAAGTACAAAAATCATTCTTTCAACCGTGGAATTCTCGCCTTAAACATTTAGCACACAAACCAATTCTTAAGGATCGTTAATCATAAACGA